TTGAACCTTGGGTAAACTAGGAAGGACATAGCGGAATATGATAACAACTGAACGATAGATAGCAGCTTCATCACCACTACCAACATTTGCAACATATGGTTGTAGTAATTGGATTTGATCAGCTGTGAATAGATTTGCATTGGACTTGGCAAATATGGTGAGTACTTCTAGAGATTCCCGAAGATTTGGTGCATCGGAATCCTCGGAAGCGGCATTATCAATAATTGTCTCAAACATAGCAGCAACAAGTGCTTTGCAGACCTTGAAATTGGCGTCGGGGTATTTCGACTTTGGTGAAAGTAGATTCTGAAGCACTTTGTCTAACACACCAGAGGTTCCATTCTGTCTCTGAGCCGTCTTGATGATTAGGGTGACATGATCTGAAATGGCGAGTTTTGCTTGAACTGATGTATCTTCAGATCCAGTTATTTTGTAGAAAGGTAACATCCAAACTTCCTCGATTGTTGACCGAGCCAATTCTTGAACACTGTCATCAAGGTCGGTGACTCTGTATAGGATAGCATCTGCAATTGAGGCCCTGACATCTTTATTGGTGTTGTTCAAATAGATGTCTTTGAGTAGTTTCATAGCTCGTTTTCGAACACCGACACCACTATCATTGACACGGTGAAGAATACTAGGAGTCATCTCCACCTCAAGGGATGGTACCAGTGAGATGCATTTTCCAATGAGACCCAATGCCGAATCTCTTACACCGACTGAAGGATCATTTGAGCACCTCAAAATCATTTGCTTGGCGGTAGGCTCTCTTTCAAGAATGGTTGGATCTGTTTCCAGAACCTGATTAACACTCTTCAGACTCTTACTTCTGACGGTAGCTTGCTCGCTGAACATTGATCGAAGTAGAATGTCAAGCACACGACTGAAAGATGTGCAGAAGGTTGAATGCAACAAGGTTACAGAGTAAGCCAAGCGGGCATGACTAGGGTCGACCGAGCCATGGCCATATTCTGTAGAAAACCATTTTTTATCTGTGATCATCATTCTAAGTCGGTATGCCACTTTACCATAGTTCTCCTCGATGCGCTCGTGATCAGGATCATTATCAAGAATGTTGTCGTATTCGTCTGCCAATTTTGAGGCCCATTCAACAATCATGAGAGAAATACTGCTTGCTAGCTGAGGATCAGCAAAGCAGCGATCTTCCATGAAATCTAGGCACATGAAGTAAGGTCCACCCCATGTCAAGATTTCATGAGTATTTGCTTCGTGTTTAAGTGATTCCTCAACCATTCTTGAAAGAGCCTGTCCCATACGTCCATCTCGATTTTCAAGCGAGGCGGCACTCTTTCGAACATGAAAGTGCAATTCCGAGATTGCCGCACCCATTGACCCAAGAAGATCAAGGGCCATGTTCTTGGCAGGAGCAGGGGTTTTTTCTGCTTCAGCAAGCTGAACCATTTTGAAGAGGAATAGGCGTAAGAGTAGTTCTGCAGCAGGCCAGTCCGGAGAGTTCAAACATGTAACAAAGTCTTCGACGAAGAGATCTAGCAGATTCCGGTATGGTGTATCGCCATTCTTCGTAGATTTAATTGCTCTACTAACAATGAAATTGACCACATATCCTGTGTTCTGTGTCGCACTTTCCAGTAGTGAAGCTCCGCAGTCTTTCAGTTCTTGGATCGCTGTGACGTTCTGCTCGATTGCTCTTCTTTCTGTATCGTATCGCCGACGATTATCAGCATCATTGATTCCATCCTCTTGAACCTCATCATCTCCGGTCAGAGCATCTTGGGCCTTTCGTCTTCGCTTCTCTTTCGCGTCGTCCGTTTTGCTGGCACTTGTCTGAATCAGCTTCATAATTAAAGCCGAGACAAGTTGAATGCTTCCCCCATCCGCCAATTTAAATTGCCGAGCACTCTGTTTGGTAACAGGAAGCTTCTCCAAGGATGTCAGAATTTCATTGAAGATTTCTGCTCTTTCTTTTGGGTTGTTGTTAAATACTTGTGCAAGTACATCCATGGCTATGACTCTAAGATTGTCGAATTTAGAGATACCAAGTACGGAGTCTTTCTCTGCATGAGCATTCTCAACAAATATCAATTTAGAAGCTGCATACTCAAGACTGTTGATGACCGTTTCAGATAGATCAATATTGGCCACGAGAACCGCCATGAGGGACAAAAGGCGTCTGCATTGAGCCAGTAAATTAAGAATAGCTTTCTTCTGGGCAGAAAGCAGCTTGAACAATGCTGAAGTCGACCCCGTGCTGCGAAGTTCCACAATCGGAATTATGAAATTCTCCATGATGTTTTTAAAGGAATTCAAAGCGGATTGAATTAGGTCCTCTGAGTACAGCTGCTTCTCGTCACGCCCGCCAGTCATAACTCTGAGCGAGGTGCGAGCAGATTTGAGTCCAAGTTCTGCATTCGAAATCTGTAAAAACAGACTTTCGACATCTGACTCTCCCATTTCCTCGTCGATCTTCAAGTCGAGTGTCTCGGCTTCTTTTAAAGCAGCTTCAGAGAATTTTTGAATTCGAATCAAGTCTTCCAAGGGAACCTGTTTGATTCTGCCAACTTCAATAATTCTGTTTAAGAGGCCCTCGAGTCGCGTTTGAGTATTAGCAGCAAGGCCGATTCCCTCGTTCGTCGAAATGAGGAAATTGTTAGAGATATTAGTTTCAGGCTGGAATTGATTTTCGGCTTCGAAAACATCTTGAAGATATTCTCGGAGGTTTCGCGCGGCAATATCGGCCTTCTCTCTTTGGTCGACCACTCCAGAGACATTCCCTTCATATTCATCAGAGCCCGCTCGTCTTCGGTTCTTGGCAGGACTTTCAGGCGAGTCTGGAAGGGGTTCTACCACCTTATATTCTTCTGGCTTTATCTGTGATTGCGGAATGACAACGGAAATGCCTGGTTGTGAGGAAGAAGGCGGAATATTCTGACTCTGCTTGCCATCCTGAAAAGCGGCTGGTGCAACTTGAGGAGGAGGAACCGATGATTGAATATGCGATGTTTTGGGACTGATCTTCATGACATGTGAATTTGGTGCAGGGCTTGGACTTTGCTTGTGAAAAGGCGCAAGTGCCTTTGGCAAAGGAATTTCGACCGCGATTTGCGACTTTGCTTTAGGCACGACATTCGCATGTTCAGCAGCAGGCTTCGTAGTAGTGGCTTCAGGAAATATAGTAGCGTTTGTATTCGCAGTATGGGCCTGCAAATTCGTATTTCCATAGCTGCTACTTGGATTTCTCGACTTCGACTGCGACTTAGTTCTCTGCTTCTGCATTCTATGCCTCATGGCTGGCACTTCTAGACGCTCCGCAATCTTATACTCCACCTTAGTTGATTCGTATAGCATCTGCGCAAAGGGTGAAAGATTGGGTTTCAATGGAGTAGCATCAGGAAGTGATGCGATCTTTGGTCCGATCTTGAAGTTACTTTTTTGAACGTCAGTCAGATCGAATTGTTTGCTGGATTTTGAACTTACTAAATTGTATGATCTTCTGGTTTAAGCAACTGTTCGAGGTCTTTCAGAGTTCGTTGCAGGCGCTGCGAGGTCTGATATGGGTTCGTTACTTCGGCGTTCAAGCTTTCTAGACTTCCTCTGCCTTGTTGAATTTCTGCTGCATTTGAAAATAATGAAGAGGAAGAACCAAGTCCTATTGTAGGTAACGGGATAATATCTGTAAATTTAGAGTTGTTAGGAAAACTGATAATAGTAATTGGGGATAGGATAGGTTTGAAAGTGAAGAGAAGGCAAAGTACCAGAGTTGAAGGGAACGACAGAGGAAAAAGGTGAATATGGAAGAGCTTCGTCGACGGTGAATGGTCGTGGCCTCATTTGACGGGTTTCACCTGTGGAAGACGCGCCATCTGTCCCATTATGGCCATTCTGATAGTTATAACCATATCCATAGCCATGTCCGTTACTTGAATCCATGGTGAACTTGTTCGGCGTAGTGAGGCGTGGATGGGCGCAAGGCCGGAAGGCTCGTAGAGGTGTGATGAGAAATTGAAGATCCAATAGAATTAATTTACAAGATCATATCGTTGTACAATCAGAAGTCGTTATCCGCAAAACATACTGTTTCTCTTGAAGCATAATAAAGGTTGTCGACGAACGACCAATTCGACTTCACCATTGAATAATATTATTAGTAGCCGTCCGTTACAACTTATGTAGGCAGCCTTGCGCTAAAGATCTGGATTGGATGGGCCGTCACTAGCGGCTTTTTTTTCATTTCGACTTTGGGCCTTGCATGCATACCTTGCAGATATAGAAATTTATTTTTGAGGAGCGCCAAAAAAACAACAAAACACCAAATTCTTCAAAACTTGACAATCAAACAGAACTTCAAGATGTCTGCAGTTGGATCTCTAGTATTTTGTACGGATTGTGGCAATCTGTTGGAAAGTTCTACTGGTAACAAGAATACCATTTTGACATGCGATTGCTGTGGAGCAGAAAATAAAGGTACGCGCAACATGTTTCCTACCATGGTCAGAGTGAACAGTACTGATCAAACTTTACTTCTAGATACTGCTTCACAAACAATCGAGACGAGAACGAAAGAAGCATCCTTCCCCTCAGTATTGCGTCAAAAAAGATCAGTCGTTCAAACAGTAGAGAAGTCTGATTATGAGAATCAAGCAATGAGTAAAACGCCATGCCCAGAATGCGGCGCAAAGGAGGTCAGATTCACCGCAGTACAATTGAGAAGTGCGGATGAAGGAAGTACCATTTTCTACAACTGTACCTGTGGAAACAAGTAAGTTTGCTTTCTATTGAAACAGTTGTTTCTGCCCTACTGACATATACTAGGTGGACCGAGAACAATTAATTTGCTACGGACGACGCATAGACATATTACATCACGATTCACGAATTGTATATCATATGGTATGGGAGACTTTGTATTTGGTGTTTGGTAGGAAGAAATTGTGATATTTTGATGGGCCAAGCACTTTGGCACCAGCCGTCTATTTTAGTAGATTAAATACGACGAGTTTATTTGGAAAAAATAAAAAGACTTATGCGGCTGCGACAGCTTCCTTCTCTGGGATCAGCGCATACTCGGTCTCTCCGCTCTGCTCGAACTCCGCCATATCCAACGCAAGGATGACACTATCTCTCACAACCGAATCCTTATCGTTCAAGAACTTTTTAAGTGTATCCTCGACGCCTTCCTCGTCACCTAAGCTTCCCAAAGCCTCGGCCGCTTCATGTCTGACCATACTGACTTCCTCCAAATTACTCAAAGAATCAGTAAGGGCAGGGATGGATGCTGGATGAGACAGTTGTCCGAAAACGAAAGCAATTTCGTGTCTGAAAAGTGCAGATTTGTCATGGAGACCTTTAGCCAAGGCAAGAACAGCAGGGACGGCGGTGGGAAGATCCGGGGGTGATGCAAGATCTCGGAGACCAAACATGGCTCTGTATCGGATGAATAGAGGAACTTTGGTATTCAAAAAGGTTTCCTCAAGTTTCTCGACTGATAGTGATTCTGAGTTCTCTTCTGCGGTTGGTGGAGCAGGGTCAATCGATGCGAAGTCCCTATAGTTAAAGATCTTGTCAGTAATGCAATGCCAAAAGAATCCGAAGCAAGTTAGGAAAGAACTCTCTCAAGCATTTGAAGATTGGAGCGTATCGCTACACTACCTCTGCTATGTGCATGTTCTTCTGAACATATGAAAGGTTCACTCACGATTGTCGTAGTTTTTCTGCTTTGCCAGCGTCCGAATGTGCCCACTCGATGTTCTCAACACTCAATTCGCACGTTTCCCTAACCTCAACCGGCTCATTAGGATCATCCCTCCTCTCTTTGAGCAACTGCAGACAATCCCTATCTGCCAAAGCACCCAGAGCCTCAGCAGCCTCATGTCTGACCATACTGTCTTCCTCTCGATTCTCCAATACCCCTCTCAAGAATTTGGAACTCTCAAGATTCCTGGTCTGACCCAAGCAATAGGCAAGCTCATGTTTCAAGAGCGCGGATGGAGAGGCAAATGCAGCTGCAATGGCTTCGATGGCGGGAACATTTAAGGGTGAAGATGGCATACATGCGAAATGTTTAAGGGAAAAGAGGGCGCGGAATCGGAGACCGATAGGTTGGGCTTCTGAGCAAAGGGTTTTGCGCAAACTGAGGATGGTAGCGGTTGTAGTAGTCTCCTCTGGAGCAGGAGATGTTGCTGATGGAGCCATTTTGATATGTTTCTTTGAATACGATCCTAAATGGTGTTGTGATAAGAATGTGGTGGTCTTTGAAGAAATAGACAGTTGGGAGAAATAAATTATGAAATCATCGACTTAAGGCGCATGCGAAATCAAAAACACAAAGAGTGCCTGCACTAATAAAAGATGCGAGAAAAAATTGTGGCCGATTCGCGGGGTCTATCTAGATTACGTAATATGACACATGCATCTGCACCTGCTAGGTTTGTAAAAGTGGACCTACACACTAGAAGGAAAAATTCAACATCTCCACAATGTGCGAAAGGTAGAGAGACGGAACAGAACAGCTGGAGACACACACAATTGAGAAAAATATCAAAACGGCAAAAAAGCAAAAAATAAACCCGCGGTTGAACTTCAGAATCGAACTGAAGTAGCGAACAACCTTCATGTGAGAAGGTCGTAATAGGAATCGAACCAATATCTCCGGAATCAGAATCCGACGTGCTAACCATTACACCATACAACCAGAATTGGGGGTTCTTGTGATGGACGAGATCTCGGATGTGGCTATATGAAGTAATCAAGAGCAAAATTGTAGAGCATGCATAATAAACTATACATCAAGATAGACTCTCATCTCTATTTCGAATATCAGATTTCATTTCGAATATTAACTAATATCTGATTGTTGTGCTCGAGTCTGATTACTAATAGTTTCTAATTATCTTGTTTGATTTTGAATATTGATATTATCTAACTATCAAATTCAAATATTGAAAGTATTGAAATGTTTAAGTCGATTTTAAATATTAATAATATCTAATTGTTTAATTCAAAATAGATTATTGAAATTCTGAAAATTCTTAAGCTGAAGACAAGAGAGACTCTTTAGGGTATATCGATTACTTTAGTTAATCACTTTATAGCCTATTCTTCTAGGAGATTCTTCATTTACCATCAAAATATATCCATTATGGAAAACTCCAAATCTCCTGATATCAGTATGGATTCAGTAGCATTACCGGCGAAAGATTCAAGGATCTCCAAAGGCGATAAGCAATCACTCTCTAGTAAAGATGTTGGAGTATCTGTTAAAGATATGGTTATGGATTTCAAATACGGTTCTTTGTCTAGTTGCATTACATTTTGCGATTTCTGTGAGTAAAAGGAGATTTGTTTATCGAGGAGATGTAGAATGTGGTTATCGAGGTTCAAAGTTTGTGGCTAGAGGTAGGTGAGATTAGATGGGAAGCAGAGGGAGATCTGTTTATCGAGGGGGCACAGAACATTATTGCTGAGGTTCAAACTTTGTGGCCGGAGGTGGATGAGATTAGATGGGAAGCCGTGAGGCAAATCAAGAGAGATCTTGTTGATCTCCAAACTGAGCTTGCATATCAATTGATTAAAGTAGTCTTGGTGGAAGATAGATACGTATTCCGATATTATAGAGATATTGAAGAATAGCTCTTCAAGGACGATAATGAAACTATGAATTAAGAATGGAACGAGGTGAATGATACGGTGATGTCTGGTGAAACTGATTCCTCAGAGGCCATGTAACATACACATCAAGTGGAGGAAATCGTTCTCATAGGTATCTATCTCGAATATCGGATCTGAGTTTGAACATTAATAGTATCTAATTGTCAAATTCAAAGCAAACTATTGAAAGTATTAAAGCATGTAGTTTAACTTGAAACATTAAAGATTGAAAATAATCAAATTCAGATAATCTACACATTACAAAAGTTACCTCACACACAACTTAATTCATCCATCGTATATCATACATTAGTAATATTTGAGCAAGGGATATTCAGACAACATAGCCACAGACATCTACATTCTAATTCCTTGTTTTCTCGTTCTCTTCTTCCAATACGATCTTAAATCCTTTAGTGACCTTACTCACCTACCTACCCAGGTAGTCTTACGATCTTCTCATCTATTGGATTATAGTTTTTTCCTCTAGTACATCGTGCGAGGTCAAGTTTGTCTTATGCTATGGAGTATATTCGATATCGAGATATCGAAATCACCATCCCATCAGCTACCTTGGGACCTGTTCAATGGAAAGATTTGGAGGCAAAGTTTACACTGAGGTTCACCAAATTTAAAAGGGATACACCACGAGAGAATGAAATGATATATCTTGCTCCTCTCGATAATGACGAAGTTAATCATGTATGCCTGTTAGCTTTGTTGATTTCACATTGTTTACACCATGGATTGGTACAACCGGTGGGAGCCAAGAGTCTACAAGATGTTTTAGACCACGCAGTTTCGTCGGGAATATGTACAATTCAATGGGTTTATCCCGACTATCCAGTGATGGTTTCTTTAGCACATTTCAGAATGCTCTTGAATGTTACCGCGTCGGGATCACAACTATCGCAAACTGTTAAGCTTATGGGGATCATGTCTGGGGTTGTTGCAAATCTGACTCGCCACTCTCTGAGATCAGCCGCTGCAAGGGATGTATCTCATCTACCTGGTACAGCCTTTGACGGTGTCGGGTTGACTACACCAGCAGTAGCAGCAGTTTTGAATCACTCGGAAGCAACCTTGGCCCATGGGACATCAAGACATTATGCTGGTGAGATGTCAGCACCTGTGTTTAATGAACGTATTAAGGCGATGCCAACTCCACGGGGAGCACCTAAGATCACAAGTGACCCAGTGTTTGATATCTATCGACCACCTGTATCTCTCGAAGAAGTTCAAACATGGCAAAAGGATAATCAATCAACTGATCCTAATCCATTATCTTTCAATGCTATATGCAAGGCTAGGAAAGCCATCAGAGATGCACGCTTGTAGAATACATGGGAAGAAACGAAAACTGTTACTACTGCTGCCGCCAAAACATCTGCGATTGTGTTCAAGGACCTATCTACTAATACAAAGGCGCTCCCTCGAAAGGATGTCTTGAAAAATGTACCAGTTTCAGATACCCTTTCTCCAACAGCGAATCATAATGATCTAGCCTGGCATGCCAATATTGATCCTCGGCTATTATCCGATAATCCAAATCCTCAATACTTGGGTATCGCTGAAGATGAGGGTTATGTAACAGGCACAGCATTTGATATGGATGAAGACGAATAGAGAGATTGAAATAGCAACCTCGGAATGAGATGCGCTTCACACTATCATCGCTCCTATGAGAATGGTATAAGAATTTGCCTTTACTTTTGAAGATAATCTACCTTTATGGCAGTCCCTCGGATGGTTAGCGAAGTGATATATATATACTGTAGATGAGTCTTTTTGAAGATAATTGCTAGTAGTCCGCAAAGAGCCTCAAAAGAGCTAGCGAAGTGACACATATAATTGTTTTAATTTTTTTAATTTTTTTTTAATTTTTTTTTTTTTGGAAAATAGGTTGAAAAGCTCTGATGAGGTTGGCGGAGCAATTATAATCTTTAGAGAATTGGCTAAGTAATAATGGTCCTCAGAGGATTGACAAGGTAGTAATGACCTGGCTCAGAGCGGACTGACGAAAATGATGGTCTAGCTTCTCATCTATAAAAACTTCGCCATTGGAAGGTAGCCTGGAACTCTGATCAACTTTCATGTAGCAATATACCTCAAGCAGGAAAAGGAACGATGCGGTTGCCGCTTCATTGCAATGTAGTGTATACTTCATCAACACAGCCGAGATGCGATCCGACATAGCATTGACATTGGTATCAAGCGAAAATCTCTAGCTGTCCTTCTCTGGTTGACAGGAAAAGCAAATCATCTGCGTAAGAGACATTTCGATTTCTCAATCCAAGTTCAACAATGAGACAACAGTATCCCATGCTTGAAAATATACCGTGCATCTCAATATGTGAAAACAAAAAGAACTACGAAACTGCAATACAGAATAGGACTTTGGAAAATTTAATATAGAATCAAACAATCAAATGATAATTGTTGTAACATAGAATTCCCCCGCGGTATAATCCGAGCACAAGAGAATGGAAAGTTAATGCCATATGAACAACTATGTCATCGGGATTGGAAGTCAGAGGCATGGGGTATGTATGGTATGGAGCTAAAGTAAACTAACTCTCCGAGTTGCAGCAGAATAAGATACCCACGACGAGGTTAGGCAGAGGTCCATGAAATTCGGAGTCTCGGGAATTCAAGTAAGAAGCCACGCAAAAGAATGTTGGACGTGATAGGAGAGGAATTGAAGACAGTGAATACTTAGGCTGTTCTGCATAGAGACGAATTTGGAAAATTCTCTTTGCGCTGGCAAGGTAGATCGATCCCTTATTCGAAGAGCCAAGTATTGAGAGAGCAGAAATATTTCTACTTTCAGGGTCAAAGCTAGGACTGTGTAGAAGAAAGCTTTTGTGATTGAAGAGACCTTACGCCCATCATCAAAGGACATTGGGTCGTTCCTGAGCCCTACCTTAAGGTTGATGGTTTGACTTCTAACTGAATTTTTCTAGAGTCAAATCAGGGAACCGACCACATCGGAATCGGCATGCGAGAGACAATTGTTTCTTCGCCGCGCAGTCAATTATTCCGGGCCGGAGCGCTTTATCCGTTGTGGACAAGGTTTAGCAAAATTCTTAAGAAACGAACTACACCTACGAGGTAGTAGTGTGTAATTTAGTTGATGAATATCAGCTGTTTTCACCAGCCTAATTACTTGTTGGCAGGATCTTACACTTGTTTACTCGTAACTGCAGTATGAACTGATGAGGACATGTTCTGTCTCTGGTGCAACCAATCACCATGAAGCACGGATTTCAAATCCAGAGCCAAGGTCATGACTGCGAAACCTCCTCCTCGAAGAAGAACGATCAATACAGGAAGGTCTGAAAATACACCAAACAAAAGATTACACGTTTGTTGAACTGAATCGCGGAAGGACCACCTGTTCTTCAATGTACAGACACTGTACATGTACATGATGTATGTGCAAGGTGGAATTAAATATCACATGATCGTCCGCCAGAAAGAATGGAGCTCAGGCATGTCTTGAGTCTTAGTCCCACATGTGCGAGACGGGACCCTTGAGTACATGGAGGGGTTGGTTCACAGTAATGGAGAGATGAAAAAGATCATAAAACATACCTAGTAGGTGAAAGGGAAGACGAAAAAGCAAAATAAAATGTTTGATCAGGATATTGAACCTTGGATCTGAGTGAGAAAAATGCTCACCATTTATGATCAAAATGCCAAAAACTAACGATTGCCCACTACTGGAATCGAACCAATGATCTTAGCATGACCGTATTCATGATACGAGTGCTACGCGGTACCACTGCGCCAAGTGGGCGGTTTTTTGAGTTATTGTTGATGGGAGAGCGGTCAAAAATCAAATACATATTCAAGGTTATTCAGTGGGGGTGTAAGACATCAAAGCGGTGAGAACCTATATATGTAACCCGCTCCAGAGTAAGCTCCATGTGGCACATTGAACCAACCATATATATAAAAATACAAGTTGCTCCTTCACTCTGTTTCCACAAGTATCTGGGGCTAGCGCATTACCTTATGCTTGCTTTATTGAGATTTGTCTTTTGCCACTTCTTCGGAGGGCATAACCTCTGCTCCGGCCTTCATTAGTACCTCCTACCTAGGTAATCTTCAATTTACACGTGATCCTTGCCTCTTACGGAGATTCTCAATTGGATCTCAAGGCCACCATTTATTTAAGGCATGAAGCAAATTAGTCACTAGGTCTTTACTTGTAACCTAAGGCGACTATTATTGAACTAGATGGATCTCTGTACCTTAATTCTACCTCAACTACACGTCTTAATAATTTGATCCATCTATGAGATACACTCCGCAGCACAGCTTTCGATTTATTGCAGTCCATGACAAAGTTAAATGGTATCAATATTCAAGTACCTAGGTAATCTGTATCATAAAGCTACAACACCTGGAGATCATATCCTCTTACTCATTGTCGCAAGGTCACTGAGTGGCGAGAGAGTGGCGAGAAGCAACAAGAGCCGCGTTTTAGGCTTTTAGCACACTGGTATCTCGCGCCCCACTCGCACATATACTCCGCAATGGCGGAAATGAGAGGATCCACAGGAAGATTTCCCGCCTCGATCGATTGCAGATGAAGACCTGATCAAATGGTCAAAATATACAGATCCCAGACCAACGTTCAAATCTACGACTGGCTACCTCCAACTTCCCCCATACACCGAGTTATTTCCACTCCATCCTACGAGAATATTGTTAGAAAATTCAATCGAATCAAGTTGGGCAACTTACTGGTTCTCCAGTAGGCTCGAAGCTGTTGATCAATTGGCTGTCGTATATGATTTTGGGATTGCCTTTGATTCCGGTGTCTAGAGCTTCAATACCACCATACTGAGTGGCAGATCGTTTCGCAAACCCATCAGTATCCAGCTGTCCCTCCTGCTTAAGCTTTTGAAGTTTGTCCTCGACACTGCTTCGCACATATTCCAGATATGGAGGATTTCCTGGACTGATAACATTGTCGGCAGCAAGAACTGTTCCTTTTTTGATCAGGCCCAGTTGTTCACATAACTTTAGGTCAGTCGTGTATGCTGGCTTATAGTGATCTAGGAACATCATATCAATGGTCTTCAATCCGCGAGAATGTAGTGTTTGAATTCCCTCGTTACTAGGACCAACGATCACTTCAACAAATTCTTCGAGGCCAGCAAATTCCAGGAGAGCAGTGATAACTTTCGCGAACTTCGGACTTCTCTCCAACGAATAATATTTCGCTCCCCCTGCAGCTCGTACTGCTGACCCAAATAGTATTGTAGAATATCCACAATACCCTCCGAGCTCAACCATTATATGAGGCTTTCTTTCACTGATTATCTTGGTGACAATAGCTCCTTTGTCCTCTCCTACATTCATGAGATATCTCTTCGTTCGTCCATACTCATCGATAGCTTTGAGAACGTTCGCCGGCGAACCTTGAATCTTGGATCGATCGTGATGATTTCGCACAAATTCGACGAGTTCTTCTTCTCTACCGTCATCGAACTACGGGGAAAGTTAACAGTGAAACGTACTCAAATATAGTCAGAAAACCTACAAATGTTTCTTCCTGTGAAGCATATGACTTCGTCTTGTCAAATGGAGCCATATTGATGTCTTTGCAAAAGGTGCTGAGGGCAATTTGATACCTACTATTGATACTGCTTGAAGTTTCTTGTCATTGTCTGCTAAGCAGTAAATCTAAGACCTAGCACAAACGTCTAGGAATGGCATAGTGAAAATAACGATGTCTCACTGCATACAACCTTCCGAGATTCGTGGCCTTGCTTTCTAGGCACAGACGTCGTAATCAGATCTTGATTTTCGCATAGTTTGAAAGGTGTTGGTGTCATTGACTTTCTCGACGTGTCGTATTCGGTGTTCTAATATCGAACTATATCCCCCAGGATGCATGCATCGATGCACCTAATTGCACTAAGGCTTAGACTACTGTTTTAGCGTGACAGGCTATGTGGGGGAGCTCGAGGAGCTTTCCTTTGTTTTATCAAATCTTTGAACAAAGGTCGGTGCTTCGATGAAAGCATACAAAATACGACAAAGCTACAGAAATGTTACCTTGTAGTAGTTTACAAGATAGCAAATGTATCCCAATGGAAATGGCAAGCAAACGCACGCCTCCAACCTGAAGTAGTACGAACGGGTAGATGCGGATGCTGTGCTATCATACCAAGTGTCAAGATTCCCGAACAGCAAAGCTATGAAGATAGTGTAAGGTGAACCATGGACTAAATCTACCCGAGATCTCGAACCAGCTGATCGTGGGGTTATGGAATTCGCTCATGCTAGAGCATTAGCATGCCAGGCGCGGGCCGCGAGCCACATCCTTGGCCTTTGCATTCTCTTCGCGCCTGCCTGTTGCATTTTCGTTGTAAGTTAGCGTAGAGCCACGATTTCGCCCGGCAATTCAGATTCTTTATATTTGCTTGTTCCTGGTTTCGGAATTGACCTCAATGTAGTCTGGAACGTTGTTCGATGGCTGAACCCTTCCTGGTTAGCGTGGGGTGATAATGTCATAGATTGAGTTTGTGAACTGGCTATTGTCACCTTGCATGTTTGACTGAACAATCTCCGTAACTCAACTGCTTGCATTTGATCAATATCGATATGTTACTTCAAAGGAGTTTGATAATCTGCGGTGCACTAATGAGACACAGTTTGATCTTGGTGTATGATAGTGTATAATGGTGCAATATCAGTCGTGCTAATAGAAAAGTCTTGGTGACGTTGACTTCTTCCTATCCCTGTCGAGGGGTGCTTAAGAACACCCCTCTCCCAAGATCTTTTGGAAAAACTGCAACCAGATTTTCAACAATACATCTCATACCCCTCATTCAACTCTTTTCAACATGTCAGACCTCAAAGCAACCGTTTCAGAGACCACAACCAAGTCCGGCCATGCCGGGTTCCACGTTGAAGGTTATGAGAAGATTGAATATGACTTCACTTTCATTGATGGTGTCTTCAATATCGACAATCCAAATCTTGCCGAATGCTATACGCCCTGGGGAAGGTGCTTAGCCGTCACTGACATGAACATTTACAATGTTTACGGAAAGCAGATGGAGAAGTACTTTCAGCACTACAACATTAAGCTGGTATTCCACAAAACGAAGATCGGAGAGAAGGCAAAGACCATTCCTACCTTTTTGAGTATTGTGGATTCCATGACCGAATTTGGAATCTATCGCAAAGTTTGTACTCTGACCATTGTTTGATAAGTTGTCATGTGTCATTCTAACATACTTTTAGGAGCCAGTTCTTGTTGTCGGAGGAGGTCTTGTCACTGATGTTGCCGGGTAAGTTGCATAATCACAATAATCTTCAAGTCATGTGAATAAAGTCTGACAATTATTCTTTCGTAGATTTGCTTGCGCAGCATACAGACGAAACACCAACTTCATTCGTGTTCCAACCACCGTCATTGGATTGATTGACGCATCAGTGTCAATCAAGGTTGCAGTCAACTATGGCAACTACAAGAACAGACTAGGCGCTTATCACGCTCCCATTCATACATTCCTTGACTTTACATTTTTACGAACACTTCCAACTGCGCAGATCCGTAATGGTTTTGCCGAATTGATCAAGATTTCATCCTGCTCCCACCTACCCACTTTCGATCTATTAGACAAATACTGTGAACAGCTCATTGAGAATTCTTTCGGTCGAGCTGATGGCTCTTCCAAGGAATTGATTGATGCCGCAGACACGATCAACAGAGGGGGTATCCACGAAATGTTGAAGTTGGAAACACCAAACCTTCATGAGATTGGTCTGGATCGTGTAATTGCCTATGGGCACACGTAAGTAGTCCACCGCTATATATTTCGAATTGTTTCTAAGTCTAACGTCATCAGATGGTCACCTCTTCATGAGCTTGTTCCGGAAACACCTCTCCGACACGGCCATGCGATATCCATTGATATGGCTTACTCGGCAACTCTTGCCAATCAACGAAAGCTCTTGAGTGATGAGGAGCATCGCCGCATCTTGAACTTGTTCTCTCGTGCAGGTCTTTCAATGGATCATCATCAATTCGATGAAGAGATCCTCGAAAAAGCTACTGCTGCTATCCTCAAGACACGAGATGGCAAACTCAGAGCCGCTGTTCCAAATCCTCTTGGGTCGTGCACCTTCTTGAATGATGTTTCTGCCGAGGAGATGAACCAGGCTTTACATCGTCACAAAGAGCTCATGAAGGAGTATCCTAGAAATGGAGAAGGGCTCGAGGCATTTGTTGATGCCTCTGATACCGGTTACACTGAGAACGCGAAGATGGAAGAAGAAAGAATCATTGAAATGGCAGCGAAAAAGGCTGGCCAGATGAATGGAACAAATGGCCATGCAAATGGAACCAATGGACACACCAATGGGACTAACGGTCATACCAACGGAACCAACGGACACACCAATGGAACTAATGGACATGCCAATGGAATCAATGGTCATGCTTCTCACACAAATGGCAAGGCGAATGGTCTAATTAATGGGCATAGTAATGGGGCATTGTCAAATGGTACGACAGGCAACTACTGATGCATGGGTGGATCATAAAAGTGAAGGTTAACGTTTGAGATTATAATGTTGTTGGACTACGGACACGACTTGCATGGTTTCTTTAAAGCAATGATTTTTTTTTTGGAAGATAAATATGCTTCCAATCCAATGAGTTATTATGTGTTTGATTGCAAAATGTGATGGATGATATTTAACTTTGGCTTGTTATTTTCGTACTACCGGAATCTGTGTGCATTGGATGCTGTATTAGTGTTCTCAATGTATAATTTGCGGGAGTGATGGAGTAGTAAGTGCATTGAGGTTGGGTTTGAGGTTGGTTGAGGCTCCTTGTGATGGGAGTCCGTGGTTCAATAGCGTCCGAGAGTCTATTTGTCAGATGGGCCAGATAATCTTTTAGTGCGTCTCAATTAATTAAGATGTGCAACAAAAATTAAAGTTTCATCACGCTTTCTTATGTAATATTGGATTTGGTGAGGTTGAGGAAAATATCGAGGTATTGTGAAGTTGGCTCAAGGTTGGATGTGTGCATGAGATCTTCTATTTTACTAGAGAAATTATTGGTATTATTGGTATTGTTATTATGGCTGTGATTTTCTTGTATGCTTGGGTTAGTGAGATGCTTTATTATTATTTGTATTGATTGGGATTTTTTGAATTGTTCGCTGGCGGGTGGTAGTGAGATCTTTCTATGATATATAGATCTTGTAAAAGTCAAGCAAGCATTTTATAGTAAAATACTGACGATTTCCTATCAAATCGGATTTTGTAGAATGTTTTATTGTATTAAAGGCTATCTTCAGCAAACCCATCTGTCAACTCGAAATAAAAGTAAGTATTTTTAAAAGATTTTAGAGATTATAGTGAAGTTGTTTGGTGTTTTATCTATTGACACCCTTCTCGCTTTCAACGATGTCGTTGGATCATCTACGGTAGAAGTAGATACGTTCTTTCTTCCCAGAGCCGCATTTGGGTTCGGGTTCGGTACTGGCGTCGCTTGTTGCGGAGATTGAAGTCGATCAACGGTATTGATGAGATTCAACAGGATTGATTGAAATAGTATCGATATAGTGTACAACAGTCAAATGAATGACATCGATCGTTAGAAAATTCCCACAGTAGACGGATTCGACAGTAAGATACTAACCTTAGCTCTTTCAATTCGATTCTACTTGATCCAAAAATGACGCCTGTCGCATAGCAGATGAAAGAAACAACAATCAATAAAATATAATGACTTTATAGAGTATTTATTACCCTTCCTCGAGTCTTCTTACAATGAGGAAAACGGAAAATTGAACACTTTATATTCTGTTGGTGATCAATTGAGATATGCATGTTGGTGAGGTACATTCAAAAAGTTCTCGGATCAGAAGCTGTAATATATATTCAAACACGCACATTTGCATTCAATTAAGTAGGCCGGATGGTGTAGTTGGTTATCACGTGTCCTTAACACTTCAAACCTGTTAAATACGGACAAGGTCCTGGGATCGTGCCCCAGTCTGGTCACTGAATATACATTTTTGCAATTTTGAAGTTGCTATGCTGGAGGTTCCAACTTGTGTCAGGTATGAGGAGGCGTGCTGCTCTCTTTTTCTTTTTTTCTTTTCCTTCTTAGCGATGTGAAAGGGTCTGGGAAAACCAGGATGACATAAGCGAGGCTAAGTATTAGTATGTTTTATGGAGGGGCGAATTTGAGGGAAAGGCAAGTGGGATCCCGCTGCAAAGAAAAATAATTAGGGTTCGGGTCATTTGGATTGATGTACCGAGGCCGATTTGAATCATTTGATACAGAAAGCAGGCTAAACGCATTAGGCGTATTACGTAATCATCTTGATTGATATAGTCAACTGGATTATACATAGCTTTCAATACAATACGCACTACACTTAATACTAAAACCCTACCCATTCTACACGTCTTTTCTGATACAAACCCCAAAAATAGATTTCTGTTTGAACTAAAACCTTATTTAGAATTTAGTAGTATATATATAAAAGAGAATTTAATTCAGTATATGACTTTAAAGAAATAAATAAAATAAAAAGGAAAGAAGTATAATTATTAATTAGAATTTAAGAAATCAATTAATATAATTTTTTTTGAATTATTTTGAAAATTGAAATTTATATTCAATTTAATATTATTTTAAGAATTTAAATAATTATTAATTTTCGATGTTAAAGCTTTGAATCTTCAAATATTATTATATTAAATATAAATTTCAATTTTTGAGATAATTTGAAAAAAATTATATTAATCGATTCTCTAAATTTTAATTAATAATTATATTTCTTTCCTTTTTATTTTATCAATCCCTTTAAGATTATATATTAAATTAAATATTTGTTTTAATATTATATATATTAATTGGGAGTTATATTAATTATATAGTTTAAACAAGGCGAGATAAGCTTGATAAGGAATTTCTATTTATTAGTTATATAGTTTAAATGAAATAAGTTTAAGCTTGAGTTTGAGATAAGGAATTCTTATTAAGCTTGTTTCGCTTAATTTGGGGTAGTTTATATATAAAAAGAAAAACTATTTGAAAATAGATTTTAAATATTAATATACTTTTTATAGAAAATTTTGAAATGAATTTTAAAAATAAATAAATAAAGCTAATCCTAAGGGCTATTTAATAATATAATTTATTTTATAAAAAATCTTTAATAAAGTTGAATTCTATCTTTTTTTATAAGATTTCTATAAACACATCATATAGATTCTAAAATTCCTTTTTTTATTAAACAGAAATCTATTTTTGGGGTTTGTACTAAATGATTCAAATCGGCCTCAGTACATGGCCCATGGGTTTTGAATCCTTAATGTTTGCGGCAATGTCAGTATCAATAATGCCAAGTCTCCTCGAAACGTCCGTGCATTGTCTATGTGTATGTAATAACCTTTAAACTCGAGCTATCTTCGTAGAGTTCAGATCATGTCAAATCAATACGAACTTCATTCATACCCATCGTTTTCTTCCTTTGAACACTTCTTCCATTGATCTTTTGTACTGTTGAATCGCAATTCTATAATCTTCTGTATATCCTTATGTGGAGGTTCAACTGAAGTTCTTGCCTTCCTTACCTATACCTTTACACCTCCACAATCTAATCTAATTGTTCGCATGGCTATTCTCTCTTAATAAGTGTGGGAAGCGCACATTACAATGCCTTTCCCACCAAGGCTTTTTCATGGTGACGTGGAATTGGGAAAACGAGATGATGATCATAGGCCTGGCTCGAAAACGCCATTGGGAATGGCATGGCAACATCGAAGGCCACATGTTCAACGTCGATCAATGAAGAAGATTGTGATAGGTCTGCTGGTCGGAATTGGTCTCTATTACTTCTATAAGAATATGCCGACAGATCTTCAGAATCCGCGCCAAAGACCACATTATACTCAGAATGGAGGAATTCCTGCGCAAGCTGGCTCGAGAGCTCCATCTCCGCAGCTCAATTCGAATCAAGCTTCGAAATTAGATGACGATGAATCGACCGAGATAGGGCACAACTTTAATGGGCCCATTAAATTCTATCAATTGGCGACGACTTTAAATGCAATGTATAAGGTCAAAGGCTCTGATCCTGTCAATAATAATGTGGTATGTTCTTAGTTTGGCAAATTAGTATGATATTTCACAGCTAATAAAGTGCTTAGTTATTTGCAGCCTCGAGTTTAAAAAGCGCTTCGACTTTGTTACCCATTGCATGCGAGATGGCATTAAGGGAAAGAAATTATGTACACTTTGCATTTATGGGAAGAGATGACATACCGATGGATATATTGAAATCTGTGAATGGAGTCAATAAGGATTGCCAGATCTTCTTTCATGGTATGAACTCCTCCCTGAAGGCTTGCTTAATGTTCTAACATGATTAGACGCACGACCAGATTATTCTCTGCAAAGCTCAGATTTCCGGATGGAAGTCAGTTGTTCTGCAGGTTTGAATCATATCAATGCATTCGTTCATCCTCAAGCTGTTCTTATTGACGCATCTGGGGATGAGGATAGTTTCTTAATCTCCGCCTTTAGGACCAGGGCCAATGCATTAGACAGAACCTTGATTGAACTTCCTAAAAACATCGAACAAAATCTAATGTGGATTGTTCAATTAGATAGTGCCGCATTGAGTGGTGAGTACATCTCTGAAGAAGAAAACTGTTTTCGTTTAGCTAATGTTTACAGCTTGGACCAAAATCAGTATTGACATAGTTGTTCACGCGCAACCACAAAAATCTGGATCTTTGATCAGGTTACTCACATCTCTTAAGAAAGCCGATTATTTTTCCAGCAACATACCGCGATTAACAATAGAGTTACCGCATGATGTCGATGAACCTACTAAACAATATGTTTCAAAATTCAAGTGGCCACCAAAGCGTAGTCAGGATGAGACTAGTCTCCTAACACTTCACCATCGAATCCCACAACATGGACTCACTCCCGAGGAAAATTCAATCAAATTTATGGAATCGTTTTGGCCTGCGGATCCTATGTCCGCCCATGTTCTTGTTCTTTCTCCTCAAGTCGAACTTTCTCCACTGTTCTTTCATTACCTCAAATTTGCACTATTAGAGTATAGATACTCTTACAATAGAGCAATTGGTCAAAAGAACATGCTTGGGATAAGTCTTGATCTACCATCAACTTATCTCAATGATTCAACGTCATTTACACCACCGTCAAGTACAAACCCTAGTCCATTTCTATGGCAAGCTCCAAACAGCAATGCTGCTCTTTATTTTGGAGATAAGTGGGTGGAACTTCATGATTTCATAGCTAGATCGATGTTTTCCGAACATTCCTTACCCCCACCAGCCACTTTAGGAGATAAATATGTCAGCAAAACCTACCCGTCATGGCTGGAATATGTTCTTAGATTAGCAAGGGCACGTGGCTATTGGACTCTGTATCCTCATTTTGAAAGCTGGGATGCTTTGTCTACTATTCATACAGAACTATACACAGCTCCAGAAGAATACACGAACAAGCCAGATGAAGCAACAGATTTTACAGCGAATCCAACGGAGCATTTATCATTAAAACACAAAGAGGAGCCATTGATTTCAGCGTCTTTGCAAACTCTTCTGTCGGATTTACCTGTCGAAATAGCTGAAATGCAATTGATTGGTTGGGATGGTGAAAATATTAACAACGAAGAGCTACAATTAAAAGCCAAGGATTATAGTCGGATTTTTAGACACGAAATTGGAGGATGTGCCAATGGAGTGGCAGAGAAAGAAAGAAATTACATGCTTGCAGGGGATTTATTTTGTTCGGGAAATGAGCCACTGCAGTCTCTGGAGCAGCCACTGGAACCGCCAGCACCCTTGGTACCAAAGGCAACTTCCGCCTTAGAGGCAAAGGACACAAATATCAAACCAGCCACAAAAATTGATAGTGTAGTTGCTGTCGAAGATAAGTACTCTACTTGAGTATGACTAAGAGTCTCTTTTATGGTATTTCCGTGATGGAAGTATCCAGCTATGTACAAACCGATTTTCACGACTTCAAGTGGGACAAATCAATCTAGAAGACTATTTGATCTTTACGGAGATCAGCCTTGCCTTTCAAGTACACACCTTGATTGCTATTGACCTTTACTCATACGAAGGCTGGTCCTGAATGCCAAGCATAAAGAACACTCCGCACGATTGTGAAGCTACTCAGGCACCAATTTCGGTTTATTCCTTAACCCTTTCATTCTGATCGAATCTTTTAGCCCTCTTGAAAGAAGGATGGTCCGACCTATAACGAGGGGTGGGTCTCTTTAACAAAGAAACGATGTTACATCTTCGACTTAATTGGTAGCGACCTCGTGGTAATCCTGCTTCTTTGTTCAACTTTTCGCGGAGAAATCTAATTTTAATCTCGAGACAACGCCGGTCCATCATAAGTTCTCGTGAAAGCCTTTTAGTCCTACTTTCTTGTTGCCCCTCTATTAGTGAGTATGTTAGATAGCCTGAGACTTTTTATATTCTTTCGGTAAGTCAATTCGCTACGATTCTGGGCGGAATCACTAGTGATTTTCCTTTATTGGAGATTGCTATATACCTGTTGTACCAACTTTTCAGAGAGCGTCAGTGTATCCTCCCTCAGCAGCATCATTCATTTGACTTCCTTGAAAATTAAATTTATATACTGTCGCTCACTTCTTGTAACGAGACATATCATTTTCAAGCGTATCAGAAAGCCAGCAAAATTCTATTAGCAAACTCGTTATATGCAATGGAAGAAAATTATGAAACCACATTACCATGCCGTGGTAAATCTATTGGTAGATCTCTAAGTCTAGTAAAAGATCTCGCGCCGCCCCCTCAACAACCTTATCCCCCTCAGAATTCTCAGAATCCTCAAAATTTCAACTCTGCATATTCAATATCAGCCCCCCCTTTAGTACACCATAACCAGATCAATCCACTATCCGCTCTCCCTTTAACCCAACATCATCCCTTTGCAATCCCTCAACCACAACCATATCAAACCCAACTCTTCAACCCAGAACACCATTATCTTCTCCTTTCCCTTTCTCGAGAAAACTTCAAAGCCCTTTCCCTACGACAGAAAATCGCAGCGGCAGAAACTAGTCTCGCTTCCATGCACCTAACTGCGGAATTGGAGGGCGTGGGGATAGGTATCACATCCCCTCTCTCCTCTATTTCTACACTCGCGACACCGCACTCGCAGGCGCCCACTCGTCGCAAACTGAAGAAACAAATCTCGTGGCTGAAGTGTCGGATTAAGGAGTGTACGAGACAGGAGAGGATTTTGATGGAGAGGTTGCAGCAGATTGGAGAGGAGGAGGAGAGGAGATGGAGATGGATGCAAATTGAGCGGCAGAGAAGGATTAATGAAGAGATGATGGAGTGGCAGCGGGGGTATTGGAATTGGTTTGTTGGGGCGGGTGGTGCTGTTGGTCAGGCTGGCTATGGATATAGTGGGGGTGGATATGGATATGGATATGGACATGGATATGGACATGTTAATGGCAATGGAAATGGAAATGGGGGAATGTTGAATGCTAGCACTCCTGCATTTCAACCCGGGGATAGCTTCAGTGTTAGTGGTGTCTGTCCTGGAGATTCGAAGGGGAGTGTGGGGGGAAGAAAATATTCAAATGATTTTTGGAATACGGAGGCGCCTGTCTTTTCACCGGTTAATTTCTTCAAACCTTCTTCTTCGACTTCGATTTCTGTCTCTACGTCTACGGCTCCTTCTGGCATAGCGCAGCATGTGCAGAATGGACAGGGGGGGAGACTTAGTAGGGGGTGGGATGAATGTGAATTATCGCCCTTGGCTGAGGAGCGAAGAAAATCTTCTCTGAAATGGAGCGTGGAGATTCGGGGTGGGGATGAGGTGGGGAATGAGAGGGGAATGGGAGAAGAGGGAGAGGGAGAGGATTCTGGATCTGGGTCTGGGGAGGGAGAGGGGGAGGCGGGAGATTCTTCGACTGAAACGGCGATTACGACGCCGACTCCGCAGCAGAGCGCGAGGATGTCGCCGATGGGTGGCGCGAAGAGTTGTAATGATGTGATGTTGGGGGTTTTTGATGGGGTGGGTGAGCAGCAGGTGGATGGGGTGGGAGAGAGAGGGTTGTGTGGGAGATCTAGAGAGGGGGTGGCGAGGGAGAAGAAAAGTAAAAGTTTGCCGGGTGTGCAGAGGCAGCTGTGGGAGGGGGTTTGTGGGGGGAAGGGGGGGAAGTTGTATGGGAAGGAAGTTTTGAAGGAGAGGAATGAGATTGATCAGGTTTGGTAGGGGTTGTGTGTAGAAATTTGATGTTGATGTTGATGTTGATATTGACTTTTGGAATTGGGTATATGATGATGTATGGATGTTATGAATGACCCTAAAGGATGATGTATAGGAATGGATGGATGGGGATAGAGGAAATTGAATTGTATAGGGTGGTGATGATGATGATGATGATGAGACGGGGATCAGGATGAAAAGTTCTGTTTGTTGAAAGATTTGGATTACGATTGGATAGTATGTGTGTATTGTTTGCTTCGGAGATCTTTTGTAATATTACATACATAGATAGGTATTAGTACTTTATGTGGATCGTACATAGAATTGATATTTTACATAACGGGGTTTGAATTATAGATTCTATTACTTGCAAGTTATATGGAGGAATCGAGATAGTAGGTATATACACGTACTATGAATTTTCGGTCATTACTGTAGATTGTATGGACAATAATGATTTTTGAGGTGTTGATTCATTGATATCTAATTAAATGACAATAACTTCAGTTTCGTTGTAGATCTAGATCCTTTGAACTCCGTTCCATTCTCTAGGCGCCTTGGATATTGTCCTATTATGAGTAATGAAATATCTTGCTGTGTGAATGTGTTTGTTTGAGCTTTCTTGGAATCTTTTGTGAAGACTGTAGGCTCGGGTCCAATGGAAAGTCCTCTTGTACACCCGATTGTCAACTCCAGTTCACATCCTGCGGATGACAGTCAGTACCAGGCCTTGAAGATTCCTATTGCTCTCGTTTGGCGAGCGACAATATTCCTTGGCCAGATTCCCTATTCCTTCCCCTCTCGTGTCCTTGTGGATCTCGCTTGAATCTTCATATCCATCTTTCTAGCTTGTTCATCATCTTCCACCAATAGTCTATTGAAACTCTCCAAACTCCCCATCATCAAACCCTAATTCCTCAGCAGATGGTTCAGGTATTGAAGGTGCCTCCATATTATTCTGACTTAATCTCTTCTGAGCCTTAATCGCCTGTGCACTTGGAGGTGGTGGTAAAAATGCGCCCATGCCTCCTCCACCCGGTGGAGGAGGTAAAGAAAACCCACCCAGCCCTTTCTCAGATTCTTCAGTCTTTTTAGGTGCCCTCCTACCCGCCCCTCTCCCTCCAATATTAACCGTAATCGTCTCCCCCTCCTTCAAACTAAAATCCCTCTTGACCTCCGATTTCTCCTCTCCTTTCTTCGTTCCCGCAGATGGAGGTTTTCCTCCTCCTTGTTCCTCAATCCCCAATGTCTTCCTCACTTCTTGTAATGCCACACTAAAATCAAATGCTTCCGATCTCTCTTCAAATCCTATTCCCAGAACCGCTTTCATTCCTCCTTCTCCTTGTACTCTGACTGCGAAAAATCGTGAACTATCCAGTACTTGCTCTACCACACCCGTTACGGTGTATGGAGCTGCGGCGAATAGCTGCCCGTTGCTTGGATCTTCTAGTAAGATATCTGCTTTGACTTTCTCCTCGCCATTTTTATCCGGGATGGCTGTTTCGAGAATACGAACTCGCGCGGTGAAGATTTGTCGTTTGTTGTTGTCCGCAGTCCAGGTAGCAGCTACGTAGCCTTTATTCGAGGTAAGGGGTGGAATGTTATAGACGTGGACTGAAGGTGCGATGAAGAGGACTCGTTGGAGTGCATCGGGTGGTAGAGGTCTACCTGTGGAGGGGTCGATAGTTTCCATGATTTTGAGGGGAGTTGAGTTCTTTCTGGGCTGGGGGATTTCTTTCTATATCATTATCAGAAAAACAAATCAGCTTGAGACAAACCCCTTTCTTTGAGGTTCCCGATGTTCGTCTTTATGATTGATAAGAAAGAGCTGAAGGTTCTACATAGTATTATGTATGTAGTATGTAGTATGTGCGAGTACTCCGTTCTCCATTAGAGGAGATGCTAGGTGTTCGGCCTTCTTTCCCCACAGCCTATCGTTGTATGGTAAGGCTGCACGTGAAATGATCTCTGATTGGCTGACATAATCCTTACCCTCTCTAATTATGAATTCATTGTTTCGATAACCTTATGCTTGGAGTCATCAATTGCATTTACAAACAATTTCATGACTCTATTGATATTCCATTCCATATAACGAGTCTTTTTGGAGGAATCTCAACGATACAAACCGACTTGAAATCTTGATCTTGAAGAGATTCAAAGGATAAACACACACCCAAAATGGATCCAGAACCAGGTATGTCAAATCTATAAATTGTCAATGCGATTTTGATCATCCATTGCTCTAGCTAGCTCTTGCGCCGTCGAAAATCCATTTCGTGGTGCGTCACAGCCTTGCTCTTGCTAACAAAATTTCCCCTCCTCATTAGCAACACCTCTTTTCGAAGAAAGCTTTCGTAGTACCACTCCACCGGCACTTTCTGGATATCCTCCTGCTTTAAAGAAAATGGCTTCCATAGGAAATATTCCTCAAAAGAAGGATTCAAAACAATTCGAGTACATCTCTCTGTGTACAATTCTCAAAAGAGCCCCTCACTGACTCATAACCCCTCTATCAGCATAGTAGAAACCTACCATCGACTTCTCAACGATGATCCCGATGTCACTATGCCCGTCGCTGCAATCGAAGCACTCATTGAACTTCTGGCCTGCTCTCGCGCAGTCACCGTTTACGAAACTCTCGATTTAGTTAAAACCCAGTCCGATTATTTGAAATCTCGCATCCCCAATTCCATATCGTTATCTGCCGGAACGGATCTATTTCAAAGATATATGATACAATCTTTAAAACCTTCAAGTACCGGAAACTTCGAGACCGTGCGACAGCATCTTTTAAGTAATGGAAGATTGTTTGTTACCAGAGCAAAGCAGGCTAGATATAGTATTGCTACTTATGGACGAAACTTTGTTAGAGATGGAAGTGTGGTTTTGACTCATGGAGGAAGTAGAGTTGTGGGAGCTCTACTAGATAAAGCTGCGGAATCGAGAGCTACTGGTGGAAATGTCAGATTTAACGTCATTTATGTTATGAATGATGCTAGGAGCGCAGAGAGTAAAGCCGTGGTTACATCATTAAGGGCTAAAGGTGTACCAGTCGCTACGATATCAGAGGGTGCTGTTGGATATGCTATGGGGAAAGTCGATTTAGTTATTGTCGGTGCAGAAGGTGTGGTAGAAAATGGAGGAGTCATTTCGAGATTGGGAACATATCAAATCGCGCTATTAGCGAAAGCGGCTGGAAAACCATTTTATGTCGCTGCGGAAAGTCACAAGTTTGTGCGATTATATCCTTTGGGACAATATGATCTTGGTATTGATCAAGAGATTATCGATTTCCGTACCGAGGATGATGAAGGGGATAAAACTCCGAAAATTGAGGAGAAATCGGAATATTTTGAGGCAGGCAAGATTAATATATCGAAACCAGATGCTGTTGATGCGGTGGACTTTACAGTAAGTGTTTTCTCTCTGGATTTGATATGATGCTAAATATTTTGCAGCCTCCAGCCCTGATATCCGCACTTATCACCGAATCGGGGGCTTTGACTCCAAGTGCTGTTAGTGAGGAACTTATTAGTTTATGGTATTGAGTGGTGATTCGGTACGAATAGAGGAACTATGCAATCTAGCAAGCTCATTTCCCACAACCGACAATTTCATGGCGTCAGGAGTACAAAACGACTTTACCGAGACCGAACAATCAAAAAATGATCAATGAAGATAATACCCACGAACGTCTTCTAAATTTGGTCAGATGATATCTGGAAATGTTGTACAATATAGTAGAGGGGTTGGACAAGAGTTGAGACTGAAAGCTGAAGGAATACCTAGTGTTGAAAAGGATATGGATGAATCTCATCTGAAATGATGGCAAAGATTACCTACATACATCCCTAAATGGGTAATTGAAAAGTCCAAATGGCAGAGAAAGAATCGATGAATATTGCTCAATAATGGCTCCTCATACACCTGGAAATTTGAAGTGACGCGACGAAAATCATGTTTGATAATCTGAAGTTCTTGAATAATTGATTTAACTACTGATGATTATTGTTATCAATATCTTAGCCATGTGAACCGAAACATTCATGAAGTTGAGAGCGAGATATTGAAACAGGCAGAAGAACGTCTGTAATGAAGAACCTGCTGGGGTATTGATCAAAATTCCTAGGGTTGCAGGCCTCATGATTTGTGCAGGTATACGATCATATCGTTTGAAGATGAAGGATCATTTTATTTCATTTGATCATCAGGGTCGCTGGGTGATCAACCAAGATACATAGGGAAGATAATAGTGCCATTGCGGATCTTGGTAGGTAGGTAGCAAGTATACTACTATGTATGTACCTAGGTAGGTGAGGTTATAGAATAGCCCTAGAAATCAGCCTTGCAGCCCTATCTATCATAACATAGGTAGGTAATATGAAACATCAAGTCACATATCACACATAATACACACACACTCATGCTAACTATTAGGTATGTAAAACTCTCGACTCCCCCTGATATAACCGAGCGCTTACTACCTGGGTAGATAGGTAGCTACTCACACCAAATGAAATAAATTCCATAAGCACTACCCCCCCGCCAGAAATATTTCCACACAGCCTCGATTCCACACTTTTACGCATAATTTATGTAAATATCTTGATTCGTTATGTTACAACTTACCACAGCGGGTGGTGCATTAAATACTGTGCCTCTCTCTTATCTCACTTCTGAAACTTTTCGGACAACTGTTGTCATGCAAGAGAATGTTGTACTATTAGTTTGGGTAGGAGTGTCATATTTTGATGGATGGATGGATGGATGAATGGTTGGTTGGATGAGATGAGATGATATGGCTTGGAAAGGAAACGAATGGTGTGAGCAGAGCCACGAATTGGAGTGTATCAGATGGGGTTTGGGGGAGGCGCAGAGGGGTGAAGGATGGGAGGTAGATGGGAAGGGAGACGGTGAGATTCGGTATATGGAGTGGTTGTGAGTATTTTTTTAAGGGAGTTTTTCTTTTTGGTTATTTTGGTTTATCAGAAAGACTTGGGATTTTTTCCTGAAGATATTGTGTAAAGTTCAAGGTTGAAATTTCTTTCGATTCTCTATTGTGCGCAATAGGATTTCAGAAGTACATCTTATTGATCTCTCAATACGACATTGTATTTTCAATCAACATGTCCACTCTCAAGAATATCCTTCCCGTCCTCCTCCTCGCTTTTCCTATGGCAATGGCAAATGTCGGCAGCGATTATCCCCAGCCGCCGTCGGATTCACAAGTACGAGATATCAACTCCGGACAGAAGAGTGCTGTCACCATTCACGTAATTATCAGCGTGGCCATCCTCGTAGTTTTCGTCGTTATTATAGTAACCTTGACGACGATCGGCTCACGGAGACGAAGACAAAGACACACACAATACGCGGGAAAGTTATACAATAGACCGGGGGCGAATGCGGCGGCTCCACCTTATAGTGTTGCGGATGATGTGAATTTGCCCGCCTATTCTTATGCGCCGGCGAATGGGGAGAACAGTCGTTTCCCAGCAATCAACGGGGATCGCACAGCCAGCACCAGCGCAGGTTTCGAAGGATGTGGTTTGAGGAATGAGCTGTGTATGCTTTGATCTTAAAAGGAGTTCATATATGAATCGTTATGTATAATGTGCCTGGAGTTTGGGTCGTGTGGTGGCTATAATGGATTATTTCGGTGCGTTGAAAAGAGGATTAGATGATGACGGCGTTGATGGAATGTAATGTTTGTTGACTGAGTCTTCGTTCAATATGATATTGGTGATATCCAAATTACATCTCCAATGCCCATCTCGACGCTCTAAACTTTTGTGGAATCGTATGAGACTGTTGTATTGGGTCTGGCGAGCCATCGCATGCAAAGAAGGGCAACCGAAAATCGTTCCATCGGGAGACTCCAGGATAAAAGATCCCCCAAATTGGTCTTTCATACGTGAGGCAAGAAATGTGGTTTAAATTTCTTATTTGCACGATCTGCTGCTCGATGCATAAATTGTTCACCATGTAACTCGAAGACCAATTCTGTGACAGGATTTCCATCATTCTCTGACTCGATATCTTTCTTGATCGCCTGAATTGGTACCGTGAATTTGAAAATGGTATTTTCCTTTGGCAGAACCTTTAAATTGTTATTCTTCGTGATAACCTCGAAAACTCCCTTCGAATCTTTGATCACAATCCCCTTCACACCAACTCTACTCACACACCTACTTCTCACAACCTCAAGTTCTGCTCCATGATAATCCGCACTGCATAATTTAGCAGCCGCAGATCCAGTAACTGGCATACAATTTTCTCCTCCCAAAACTTCCGAAATGTATCCTAACCACATTTTGTTTAATGGTTCGTAGATGTTGTATTTCTGGGCCGATTTGGGTACATCGTATAGACATAAAGCGCGTTTCTCTCGAGCAGATAGAGGGGCTGGCTTCAATTTCTTTTTTCGTAAAGCTAGTTTTCGCTGTCTTTCGAGACGACGACGTTGTTGTTCGTTATTTGGTTCTGTGGGTTTTAGATGTAATGGTCGTTGTTTGACTTTTTCGGTGAAGATCCGACTTGAAGTATCAGGCGAATGCGCCCGCGATAATAATTGCGTCGCTATATTGTTATCCTTCGATGCCATCTTTTCTGTGCTGTTTTGTTCGTTGTTGAAATAAATTTGTCGCAAAATATCAAAAGCTTGAGAAGAAGTCTAGAGCTACCAAAATTCACATGTTAAAACTTAGTTCCACAGTAAGACATGAACGCTAAACTCGTTTTGGTGACCCCAGATTTCGTTGTGATCCTCAAGGCAATCGATGGCGCGCTCCGGCGTGCCTCGCCGAGGTTTAAATATTTAATTGACAATGATCCATCACACCTAGCAGGCTTGCGATAATAATGCGTATGTTTGTTTTCGGCCTTCGATAATACTGTGCGACAACGATAATATGATAACATCATCTTCCAATACCGATCAACATGGCAGACAACAAAACCTCATCTCCTCCAAGGACTTCGGCTCCTGATCTTGAAATCTTGGGCGATCAAGTAACATTGCATCCTAGTGGTTACATCGAACCTCCGGAAAGACCTCACGATGGAGAGAAGGAAAGGAATTTGGTGGAGCATATGGCTAGGTTTAGGTCAAGTCCTTTGGAATTTCTGAGAGAGGTCTCTTTACATGTTTCAGGAGTAAGTTCCTTCGCTGATGGGCATAAATCATCCATTGCTAATATTTAACGCCCTTACAGACAGGATGGCGTGCCTACGATCATTTCATCGGACAGCCTATCTTCTATCCTGGATTCTCGGAAAATATGACAGCTGCGGTCATGTCTACACCTATTTTACAAACACGAATATCCGAATTGGCCGAGAAGCGGATAGGAATTGAGGAGCAGGAAGGTTTATTGAATAAAGATGATCCGTTATACCATTCGAAAAGATCGCAGAGAAAGTCTGCCATTGAACAAAGTTTGCAAGAGCTTTCAGAAAAATTGACAAGCGATATGATATGCAAAATGGAAAGTAGGCCATTTATCCGAGGAGCTTATTACCTATGCACCCAGCTGTTGACAAGAGCATATCATCAAGGCAAGTGGATTTCACATGGCTTCAAATATTCTCACTAATGAATATGTAGGTATTCATGTGTCCAGCGAGGAAGTCCTTAGATTGCGAAATGTTGCCGAAAAAGCACAAAAAGACAAAACATCTATAATTTTCCTACCATGTCATAGATCCCATGTAGACTATGTTTCTTTGCAACTGATTTGCTATCGATTGGGTATCGCTTTACCTACAGTTGTAGCTGGAGATAATCTTAATTTCCCTGTCGTGGGGAGCTTTCTACAACATGCTGGTTAGTCGATATCCTCAAATGCTCTTGACATATAATAATTTTATAGGGGCCATGTGGATACGAAGAAGCTTCGGAGATGATGCTCTGTATACTACTCTTGTACAATCATACATAGATACCCTTCTACAAGGCGGTTACAATTTTGAATGTTTCATCGAGGGCGGTAGATCAAGAACTGGAAAGTTGTTGCCTCCCAAATTCGGTATCTTGAGTTTCATCCTGGATAGTATCATTTCAGGTCGAGTCAAAGATACCATCATATGTCCTGTCAGCACTCAGTATGATAAAGTCATCGAAACCGAAGGTTATGTTGGTGAACTACTTGGTATTCCCAAGAAAAAGGAGAATTTGGCCGATTTCCTCTCGGCATCATCAGTTCTTTCTCTAAAATTGGGTCGTGTGGATGTCCGATTTCATGAACCTTGGAGTTTACGAGATTTTATTTTACAACAACAAGCTCGATCGCTGGGAATACCAAAGACTCTTGATTTTGAGAGCATCAATGTACCTAGTGTTCGGCAAAAGCTACTGAGAACTTTGGGTTACAAAGTTTTATCCGATATCAATGCAGTTTCGGTTGTCATGCCTACTGCGTTGGTTGGAACGGTTTTATTGACTTTGAGAGGCCGTGGTGTTGGAAAATCTGAGTTGATTCGTCGAGTCGAATGGATCAGCGAACGGGTTAGAAACAAGGGTGGGCGAGTAGCTCATTTTGCTGGCGCT